TGAAACATGACCAAAACATAATTACGGANTTTTCTATGTAATGAACTGTATTTCTTTTATAATATTATTGTTAAGGTTGTTTTGGCACACACATGTAATAGATGTTAGCAATATACAGGTCGGCGGGATTACTTATCGGTATTTCGCAGAATTAATATCGGGTTATTGTTTAGGCTCTCTGCAGACCTGTATATTGTAAAAAGTGTGCACACGGCACATATTGTCCTTGGAACCTTTTTATTCCATGGGAACAAATTTTAAAAGAAAAATGAGTCAGTTGCTGGCATAAGTCACTAGGCAGTAGTACTAGAGTGAGCAAGCGAGATTTGTTTATGAAACGCTGTTCACAAATTGTTTTTTCTCAATAAAGTTTTATTCAGTTAAAATCTGGTCAAATCATTGAAGGAGGAAGGAATGTATTTTAACACAATTAACAATATTTTCATGAAACATGACCAAAACATAATTACGGACTTAGCAGACGAGGAGGATAAACAAAAACTGCGTAATGTTCTTTCTGAATTGCATGATCTTTTTACTTCCAGTAATCACGTTCAGGCAGTAACTACTGGAGAATTAAAAGTAACTTTAATCGAAAATAAAACTATTTACCATTACCCGTACCGTATGTCTGAAAGTGAACGTACCAAATTATGAAATATTATCGAAGACCTAATACAAAACGGCATTGTGCGCGAAAGCAATTCTCCTTTTGCCAGCCCAGTCATACTAGTTCAAAAAAAAAACGGAACAGATCGTCTATGCGTGGATTTTCGTGCACTCAACAAAATAACGCTAAAAGACCGCTACCCTCTTCCTCGTATAGACGATCAATTGGATCGTTTAGGAAAAGGAAAATTCTTCACTTCCTTAGACATGGCCTCGGTCTTCCACCAAATCCCAATGGCCCAAGAATCAATTCCAAAAACGGCCTTTGTGACACCTGACGGCCAATTCGAGTACCTAAGAATGCCTTTTGGCCTGGCAAACGCACCGGCCGTTTTTCAAAGAGCCATAAATATTGCGCTAGGAAAACTAAAGTTCGATGAAGCATTAGTCTACCTGGACGATGTTTTAATATCCTCCACGTCAATAGAAGAAGGTTTTGAAAAGCTAAAATGAGTCCTCTCAGCTTTGAGAAAAGCCGGATTTTCAATCAACATCAATAAATGTCGTTTTTTAATGAAATCCGTCACCTATTTAGGTCGCGAGATATCTGCTGATGGCATTCGGCCTGATCAGCGAAACGTCAAGGCTATTAAAGATAGCCCCACTCCCGAAAGTGTCAAACAAATCCGACAATTCATTGGCTTGGCCAGCTATTTCCGGAAATTCATACCGGCGTTTTCCACCAAAGTCGAATGCATAACAAATTTAACGAAAAACGACGTCCCATTTATCTGGTCCAAAGAATGCGAAAAGACACGCCAGTATGTAATTGATGTCCTTACACAAAAACCATTACTATCCATATTTGACCCTACATTGGAGACTCAATTGCATACTGACGCCAGTAGCCTCGGTTTCGGTGCCATTCTAATGCAAAAACACGGTGACTCATTTAGACCAATTGAATATTTTAGCCAAAAGACTTCCCCCGACGAAAGCAAATACCACTCTTTCGAGCTGGAAACCTTGGCTGTGGTGAAGGCCCTTAAGAACTTCAGAGTTTGTTTATTAGGAATCCATTTTACCCTAATTACAGATTGTAATTCCCTTAAACTAACGGCTAACAAAAAAGATTTAAAACCCCGCACTGCCAGATGGTGGGCATACATGCAGGATTTCAATTTTCAAATAGTCTGTCGTAAGGGCTCCGAAATTTCTCATGTCGACTTTCTAAGCAGAAACCCCGTTGAAACCGTTAATCAAATAAACTCATACCCTGTCAATTTTAAGAATTGGCTAACTGTTGCTCAGAGTCATGATAAGGTGTGTAATGAAATCTTTAAATCTCTGGAAAACGGCGACAGTGAGACAAAACGGAAATATATATTTGAAAAAGGCACTCTGTTTCGATTGTTAATGTCCAAAGAAAATACCAAACCCACACAATTACTTTTTGTCCCTTCAAACAACAGACATAACCTTTTAAAAATATTTCACGACGACCAAACTCACATAGGCTGGGAAAATTATATTTTTGGTTTCCCAATATGACGCGATAAGTCAAAAAATACAGCCCACATTGCTTACTTTGTGCTGTGCGAAAAAACCACTCCGGACCTAAGCAAGGTTTCCTTACTTCTATTCCAAAACCTAGTGAACCGTTTCACACAGTTCATGCAGACTGTCTGGGATCACTGCCGTCATAATAGACGCCTTCTCAAAGTTTTGTCTCCTGTATCCACAATCTTCTCTCACCGCAGAAGAAACAAAGAAAAACCTCTCGAACTTTGTAAGCCTATTTGGAACCCCTAGTAAAATAATCCACGACGCAGGAACCAAATTTACCGCCAAATTATTTAAAACATTCAATGAACACTTCGGCATAGAACTACTATACATGTAACTACCCCAGGCGCTCATCGGTCAAACGGGCAAGTAGAGAGGTACATGCGTACCATTACCAATCTGTTAAGAGTAGAATCAAGAAAGTCAACAGAATGGCCGAACAAAATTTGGAAAATTCAGCTTATCATTAACACTACCATCCAAAAGACAACTGGATACTCTCCCTTCAAAATCATATTTGGGCACGAGAGACAGACACCTCAAATACGCACTATACTCGCCGATCTACCGCAAGTAGAATCCAACAAATCACTCATAGACCATGATGAAGTTTACAAAAAAAAAAAACTAAAAGCTAATTCTAAAAATCAAGTTGTTTCTTTGAACAAAAAAAGACGAAATAATCAAAAATTCAGTGTAGGAGAAGCTGTTTTGTTAAGCAGAGGACAACGACCCGAAAAATTCGATTGTGAATTTGTGGGTCCATACATGATCAAGGCATTATTGCCCAATGACCGCTATTTACTTCGTAAAGTGGGGAGTCGAAATACTTTGAAGTGCGCAAAGGACCAGTTAAGGCGTTGGCCTATGGACTGGACTCCTGATGATTTTGAGTTTTTGCTAGAATCAAACGTTTGTAAGTATCCGAAAGTCTTGATATTGTTAATTATTTGTGGAGACCCATCGCAAGTTCTAGCAATCTACAGTACTTCCATCGTGTCTCTCACAGGCTACATTAAACAGAAAGACCCATCGTAAATACGTGGGCAGTATTTCCATCGTGTCTTTCAGTAGTTGCCAGAAATGTAAAAAAAAAGAGAAAAAATAAATAAAGCCCCATCGTAAGTACTGTTCTTGCCTATAGACAGTATTTCCATCGTGTCTTTCAGCAGTGGTAGATTTAGCACAAGTCACGTTTAACAGTTTTGCAAAGTCATTTGAGACTCTGTTGTAATGTTTCTCCCTTTATTACAGCCCAGCTAACTTTTCTGGAGACCCACAGGCTACAGACTAATGTAATAGAGGAGCCCCCTATGTGTAAAAGTCAAAAACAAAAAGGACCAACCTTAAGTTTTTTGTTTATTTATTTATTACGATATGGTTCTTGTAATATTTTTCATTACTCTTGAAATACAACTTAATTAATTTAAAATCTGATTTTAATAACAAAAACGCAGCATTCCGAGGACGGAATGATGTCAGGCTGGCCGTGTCAGATATGCTCTGACAAATTTGAAATTTGCCGCTCTTATCACGTGAGTGTGTCACTCGAGCCGAAGCATTGGATGCCATGATTGCGCAGCCGCTACTTTTCGATGCTCACACAGGAACCGATGGTCCCCGAGGGGATCACTCGAGAATACCTGTTTGACAAAGTCGACCGTATTTAGTGTGGCGGGAAATTAAACTTTAATTTAAGACTCTAACAATATATTACTCTTTAGAAATAGGAGCAGTACCACACACAATGAAATGTTCAACAATAGTGTCAATAAGAAAAGTCAGTAGAACTACAAAAATAAAAGAATTCAAACCGATAAACATGTTAACTGCATTAAGTAAAATATTAGAAAAAGCAGTGTATAAGCAAATTAAGGAATATATTGATGAAACAAACATCTCATCACCATACCAATCAGGATTTAGGAGTGGGTACAGCTGTGAAATTGCCTTTCAATATGTGCCAAATACATGACAGAATAATTGTGACAATGACCTAAATACTCTGATAATCTTCCTAGATCTCAAAAGAGCTTTCGAAACCATTAACCGAGAAAGACTGATAGCTAAGGTAAGAAAATATGGATTCAATGGAACTGTGATAAAATGGCTTGAATGCTACTTAGAAAATAGAAAACAGAAGGTAAAATATGAAGATCTAGAATCTAGTGATATACAAATAAACTACGGGGTACCACAAGGAAGTATCTTAGGCCCACTACTGTTTGTGGTATATGGGTGATTCTACGTTAAGAGGTACTAATGGTGTCTAAATGAAAAAAACATAGATTAGTTGAAAATTTGTGGAAAATGACGAACTTACATAATAATAAACAACGTTTACTTTGTTGCCAGTAAATTTCAATACTTTAAATAATATAGTTTAGCTGTAATTGCATGTCAACCTTGAAAAAAGTACCTACCCTGGCCTGTCCCTTTACTGTTTCGCAAAGAAGTCAGTGTAATTTAATACATTTCTAATTAATTAGAAATTTCAGCATTACTTATTTCATAAACAAGCGTTAGTAACAATGGTAAATGTGAAACAAAAAAATGAAATTACTTCTATTTTCTTTAAAAAAAAAGTACGCAATTTTTGTCCCTCATATTTTAAGTCTCATACCCTGGACATTTTACATCCTTTACAAAATGTCGATAAAGTAAGTGTCGTTAAAAATTTTAAACTTAGAGCATTGGCTTTGATGTCAAGTTAACAATAAACGACGCGCGAGNGTTAAATATTAAATAAGCAATATATGAACTGGACTGAACATTTCTGATCTACCAACGTTTGTATTGCTCATTTATGCTTACCATTAGATAAATTATAACTTCAAATTGAATACCAACTTTATGAATTGCTTTGGATTTGGATTTTAGACTTCAAAAGATAAAGGAGGTGCTGTTGCGCGTGTTGTATAACAAATTATTGCCTCTAAACTTGAAAAAAATATCTAATCAGATGGTTTACGGTTCGCATTAACTGGTGTTCAGTACCGATATATATATGCACCTCGAGACCTCGAGAACATGAAATGCTGTATCACAGTTTATCTGTTTTCCTTAACCTAACATCAAAATTATCTGTTTGTCCGGTAGTGAAACTAAATACAATGGCGAATGAAGGTGAAAACTGGAAAAATGCACAGTCTGTGTACGAATTTGTTGTGAATAATATTAAAGGGGAACCGGTTTCTCTAGAAAAATATCGAGGAAACGTATTAATAATCGTTAATGTTGCATCCCGTTGCGGTTACACTGCAAATCATTACAAGGAATTGAACGAACTCTATGAGAAATTTTCTGAATCCAAAGGGTTAAAAATATTAGCCTTTCCATGCAATCAGTTTGCCCATCAGGAGCCGGGTGGATCTGATGAAATTTGTCAGTTTGCGTCTTCAAAAAATGTCAAATTTGATTTGTTTGAGAAAATTGACGTTAACGGAGCAAACGCACATCCATTATGGAAATACTTAAAAGAAAAACAGGGAGGCATTCTTGGAAATTTCATAAAATGGAATTTTACCAAATTTGTTGTTGATAGAAATGGACAGCCTGTGGAACGTTTCGGCCCGAACGTAAGCCCACTTCAAATGTTACAAGCCCTTGAAAAATATTGGTGATCAATCTCAAGCAGGGTGAATTGATATTTTAAACTGTGCTTTGCTTATTGTATGTTTATTCTTCCATGCTTTTTTATGTATTAGTTTATTAAGAAATTTGTGGTTGTATTTTATTGATTTATAAAATAAATGGAATATTATGGTTTGTTGTTGCTAATTTTTAACAGTAAATAATGTTATTTACATTTATCCAAATTCGGTATATTTGCATAAGTAAATAAAAGAATGTAAAATAAACTTTTAAAAATAAAGTACCTATCATACAAATTGTAAAATATACTTTTCCTGATCTAATAAATTATTTTAAGGAATGTATACAGATTAGAAACTAAAACCAAAAGCGCTTAGGTTGAGAAGTTCATGGTAAACTTTTCAGGCTTAATGCTTTTAGTTTATTAGTTTATTTATTAGATTTATTAGAAGCATTGGTTTTAAGTATTATTGTATTTAACAATTTTTAATTTTTTTGTGGAAGATATTTGCCGTAGATACCTATTGAATTTATAAGAGTTCCATGTAATGTATTACTCGTCAAACCTTTTCTTTTTGTCAAGATTAAATATACAAAAAACAAAAGCAATGTTACTGGGTTCAAATAAAAATGAAGTAAAAAATGAAATTAAAATAGTTATTAATAAAACGGAAGTGGAATTAGCAACAACAACAAAATATTTAGGCATAATAAAAGATGACAACCTAAAATTTGAAGAACATTTCGATTATATCGCAAAAAAGGTAGCTAAAAAACTAGGAGTTTTGAAGAGAAGTAGTGAGTACTTAACACAATGGGCAAGATTAACCGTATACCACACTACTAATACTACCACATTTCCACTTTTCCCGGGACGGTATTATTTTTAGGAAATAAACAGGGAATAGACAAATTGCAAAAATTACAAAATAGAGCAATGAAAATAATATTAAATTGTAACAGAAATACAAGCATTCAAATAATGCTTGATAGGCTAGAATGGCTGAATATCAGAGAACACACAGAGTATTTAACACTGATCTTCATACATAAAATAAAACTCAAAATACTGCCTGAATATTTCAGTAACATGATCAACCCTTTTAAAGAGATACATAACTACAATACTCGTCATAGAGAAGATTTTCAATTAGAACACGTAAAGTACAAAAGGTCCCAAAATTCAATTTTTTTAGACGAATAATTGCATATAACGCATTATCAAGCAAAATAAAAAGTCTAACGATAAATGGTTTTAAAAATAAATTGAAATGTTACATTGACAGCAGACTGGGAGCATGAAAGCAATCAGGGCTATCGCGTATGAAATCGCCGCTAGAGGCGCTTGATTTAGTGTGGCGGGAAATTAAACTTTAATTTAAGACTCTAACAATATATTACTCTTTAGAAATAGGAGCAGTACCACACACAATGAAATGTTCAACAATAGTGTCAATAAGAAAAGTCAGTAGAACTACAAAAATAAAAGAATTCAAACCGATAAACATGTTAACTGCATTAAGTAAAATATTAGAAAAAGCAGTGTATAAGCAAATTAAGGAATATATTGATGAAACAAACATCTCATCACCATACCAATCAGGATTTAGGAGTGGGTACAGCTGTGAAATTGCCTTTCAATATGTGCCAAATACATGACAGAATAATTGTGACAATGACCTAAATACTCTGATAATCTTCCTAGATCTCAAAAGAGCTTTCGAAACCATTAACCGAGAAAGACTGATAGCTAAGGTAAGAAAATATGGATTCAATGGAACTGTGATAAAATGGCTTGAATGCTACTTAGAAAATAGAAAACAGAAGGTAAAATATGAAGATCTAGAATCTAGTGATATACAAATAAACTACGGGGTACCACAAGGAAGTATCTTAGGCCCACTACTGTTTGTGGTATATGGGTGATTCTACGTTAAGAGGTACTAATGGTGTCTAAATGAAAAAAACATAGATTAGTTGAAAATTTGTGGAAAATGACGAACTTACATAATAATAAACAACGTTTACTTTGTTGCCAGTAAATTTCAATACTTTAATTAATATAGTTTAGCTGTAATTGCATGTCAACCTTGAAAAAAGTATCTACCCTGGCCTGTCCCTTTACTGTTTCGCAAAGAAGTCAGTGTAATTTAATACATTTCTAATTAATTAGAAATTTCAGCATTACTTATTTCATAAAGAAGCGTTAGTAACAATGGTAAATGTGAAACAAAAAAATGAAATTACTTCTATTTTCTTTAAAAAAAAA